ACAAACCCTCAAGGCAGGAAGAGCTTGGAGTGATGTATTTCAAGCCCTAAAGGAAAACAGCCTCCAACCCAGATTGATGTACACTGCAAAACTATCTTTCTTTTTTTTTTTGTTAAATTCTTTTATTGATACATTTTAGGTATTCAACATAATTACATTTCTCATTGGGAATTGTACCTTTACATAATGCATCTTGGTACTATCTTTCAAAATTGATGGAGAAATAAGATACTTTCATGACTAAGAGCATCTTAGGAACTTCATGAATAACAAACCAGTACTCCAAAAAATTTTAGACAACCTAGGAAAAGACAACGAGGATCACAACCCCAGGAAGCCCAGAAGAATGAATCCATTGGGTGCCACAAGAAATTAAAAGCAAAGGGGGAGAATCCAACAAACAGAAAAAGTCATGACAATGTAAGTCAATACACATCAGTTATAACCATCAATGTTAATGGTCTCAATTCACCAATCAAAAAAAATATACTGGAAGAATGGGTAAAGAAGCAAGATCCAACAATATGTTGCATACAAGAGACACACTTAATTCAAAAAGAAACTCATAGTCTGAAAGTTAAAGGGTGGAAAACAATACTCCATGTGACAGGAACCCAAAAAAATGCAGGAGTAGCTATCCTCTTTGCAAATCAAGTGGATTTCAAATGAAAATCTAAAACATTCTGGTCCCAAGAATTTCAGAGAAGGGATACTCAACTTGTATGTACAAATCTATTGTGAACATGTGTTTTCATTCCTCTCTAGTAAAAACTTAAGAACAGGACAGTTGGTTTTTAACAGTAATACAAGAAATTTCTATATTGTTTTCCAAAATGGTTTTATCATTTTACATTCACATTAGCAGTATTCAAAAGTTCTAACTGGTTCACATCTAAGCTGACATTTGTTCTTTTAAAACTTTTAACTTCATCTCCCTAATGAGTATATAATTCAATCTTGTTATTGTGCTGATTAGTATTTTTCTGATTCTAGTGTTGTACGTCTTTCTTTGTGCTGATCTGGCTATTTATCATCTTCTTGTGTCTACTTTTTAATTGGCTTGTCTATTAATGAGCTGTAAGAGTTCTATATTCTGGTCATAGGTTATATACATTATAAATATGGTCTGTTCAAGGACTACTTTTCATGTTATTGACGATGTCATTTAAAATTCTAAATTCTGATGGAATCTCATTTATCTTTTTTTTCTTTTATACATCATGTTTTTTATATCCTAGGAAATTCTTTCCTACCCTAAAATCATCAACATTTTCCCTTATAATTTCTTCTTAAAGTTTTATAGTTTTAGTCTTTCATATATTTAGGTTCATAGATCCTTTCAAGCTATTTTTGTATGGAAATAAAGGGTTGAGGTTAATTTAATAATTTAATTTATATACAGATACCAGGTGTTCTAGTGCCATTTTCTGAAAACACTCTTTTCCTCTGCTCTTGAATTGTTTTTCTTCTATAAAATGTAAATGTTAAATAATCTTTCAAAACTCAGTGGACCATGTATGTGTGGTTCTATTTCTAGATTCTTTGTTTTATTCCAATGATCTGTATGTCTTTCCTTACACCAATACTGCCTTGATTACTCTAGCTTTAGAGGAAGTCTTAAAATTAGGTAATAAATGTTGTCCAACACTGTTTTTTTCTTTTTCTTTTTACTTTTCTGTGTCCTTTGTACTCCTACATAACTTTTAAATTTCAATATCCAATTCTTCATGTATAGCAAAGTATACATAGACCTGAATTTTTATATATACCTTGTGTTTTCTAATCTTGCTAAATTCAAATACAAGTTCTAGAGGCACCTAGAGATTTCTTAGTATTTTTTCTGTAGCTGATCATTTCATCTACATATAGATTTTACTTCTACCTTGCCAATCCTATTGTAATTGTGTCATTTTATTGCCAGACTATTTTGGTTTGGGCCTGTTTCAAAGTTTAATGGACAGATGAGGAGTAGGCATATTTGCCCTTGTTCCCCACCTTAGGGAGAAAGCATTGTATCTTTTCCATTCATATAAGGCGTTTTTGCTGGAAGTATGGAGTACGTCTTTGATCTATTGAGAAGGTTCTGTTCTACTTCTAGTCTCCTGAT